CAACAGCAGATCGAAAAGATTATATACCATGATCAAGTGAGATTTACCTCAGGGATGCAAGGATGGTTCAGTATGTGCAAATCAATAAATGTGATACACCACATCAACAAAATGAAGGACAAAAAACACATAATCATAATAGATGCAGAAAAAGCATTTAATAAAATTCAACATTCTTCATGATAAAAATCCTCAACAAATTAGGTATAGAAAGAAAATACCTCAACACAATAAAAGCCATACATGACAAACCCACAGCTAACATCATCCTGAATGGGGAAAATTTGAAAACTTTTCCTCTAACAAAAGGGACAAGACACAGATGCCCACTATCCCCACTCCTATTTAACATAGTACTGGAAGTTTGAGCCAGAGCAATTAGGCAAGAGAAAGAAACAAAGAGCATCCAAATTGGAAAAGATGAAGTCAAATTGTCCCTATTTGCAGATGATATAATTTTATATATAGGAAAACCTAAAGATTGCACCAAAAAACTCTTGGAACTAATAAACAAATTCAGTAAAGTTGCAGGATAAAAAATCAACACACAAAAATCAGTAGCTTTTCTATACACCAACAGCTAGCTGAAAAAGAAATCAAGAAAGCAATCCCGTTTACAAGAGCTACCAAAAAAATAAAATTCCTAGGAATATAATTTGACCAAGGAGGTGAAAGATCTTTATAATGAAAACTACAAAATACTGATGAAAGAAATTAAAGAGCGCACACACAAAAAATGGAAAAACATCCCATGTTCATGAATTTTAAGAATTAACATTTTCAAAATGACCATACTGCCCAAGGCAATCTGAAGATTCAATTTAATCCCTATAAAAATGCCAATGACATTCTTCACAGAAACAGAAAAAACAATCCTAAAATTCATATGGTACCACAAAAGACCATGAATAACCAAAGCAATCATGAGCGAAAAGAGCAAAGCTGGAGATATTACACCACTTGACTTCAAATTACACTACAAAGACATAGTAATCAAATTAGCATGGTACTGGCATAAAAACAGACATATGGACCAATGGAACAGAATAGAGAACCCCCCCAAAAATCCACACATCTTCAACTAACTGATGTTTAACAAAGGCACAAAGAACATACACTGGGAAAAGAACAGACTTTTCAATAAATGGTGCTGGGAATACTGGATATCTACACGGAGAAGAAAGAAACTAGACTTCAATCTCTTACCACATACCAAAATCAACTCACAGTGGATTAAAGTCTTAAATGTAAGACCAGAAACTATAAAACGTCTAGAAGAAAGCATAGGGGAAACACTCCAACACCTCTGTTAATGTCTATTACTACTATTAGATAAAAAGTACAAATGCTGGTGAGGATGTGAGAAAGGGGAACTCTTATACACTGTTGGTGGAAACGTAAATTAGTACAGCCATTATGGAAAACTATATGGAGCTTCCTCAAAAAGCTGAAAATAGAACCACCATGTGATCCAGCAATCCCACTGCTGGGTATTTATCCAAAGGAAAGAAAATTAGCATACCAAAGAAATATCTGCACCCCCATGTTTACTGCAGTACTATTCACAATGGCCAAGATATGGAATTAATCTAGGTGTCCACTGACAGATGAATAGATAAAGAAATTGTGATATATATACACAACAGAATACTACTCAGCTATGATAAAGAATGAAATCCTGTCATTTGTGACAATATGGATGAGCCTGGAAGACATTATATTAAGTGAAATAAGTGAGGCAGAGAAAGATAGATACTGACTGCATGTTCTCACTCTTATGTGGGAGCTAAAAAAAAATAATAAGTTGAACTTTTAGAAGTAGACAGTACAACTGTGGTTAATAGAGGCTGGGAAGGGAATGGGGAGGGCAGATAGTGAGAAGTTGGTTAATGGACACAAAATTACCACTAGCTAGGAAAAACAAATTCTAGTGGTATTACTAGTGCTAATCTGTAATTAACGATAATTTATTGTATGTCCTCAAATGGCTAGAATAGAGGAGCTCAAATGTTGTCATCACAAAGAAATGATAAATTACTGCCCTGATGAATTTGCTAACTACCCTGAATTGATCATTACACATTATATACATCTATTAAAATATAACTCTGTACCCCATAAATGTGTACAATCAATACTTTTCAATTAAAAAAATAAATTTCTTAAATAAAAGATGTTCAACCTTACCAGTCATTAGGTAAATGCAAATTAAGTGTACAAGGATCTACTACTACACACCTATTAGAACATAAAATTAAAAATAGTGACAACACCAAATGTTGGCAAAGTTGATGAGAAACGATGTTTCATACACTACTGGTACAAATGTAAAATTGTACAGCCACTCTGAGAAATAGTTTGGCAGTTTATTAAAAAACTAAATATACAATTACTGCTTAACCTAGCCATCACACTTCTGGGCATTTATTCTAGAAAAATGAGAACTTATGTCCACACACACCAAAAAACCTGTATACAATTGTTCACAGCAGCCTTACTTATAATAATCAAAAACTTGAAACAACCTAAATGTCCTATAGCAGGTGAATAATTAAACAAACTGTGGTGCATCCATGTCATGGAACACTAGTCAGCAACAAAAAGAAATTAACTAGTGATATACAACAACTTGGATGGACCTCAGGGGCTGAAATAGGCCAACCTCAAAAAATCATAGATTGAGTGATTTAAATTATATAACATTCTCAAAATTAAAATTATAGAGATGAACCGATTCATGATCGCCAGAGCTAGGAATGGTGGGGAAGGGATTAAATTTGACCACAAAGAACAGCAGAAGAGAGATCTCTGTGGTGACAGAATGGTCTGTATCCTGATTGCAGTGGTGCTTACACAAATTTGCACATGTAATAAAACAACAGAGAACTATAAGCACACACGGTACATTCTTAAGAAATACACACTAAAGAATTAAGATGTAAAGAGGAACGAAGCAATCCACCTAGTCCTAAAATGACTCAGAAAAATAATTGTTAGATATAGAAAGAATGATAAAATGTGGCAAAATTTTAAAAATTGGTGAACTCGAGTAAAGGATATACAGGAATTCTATGTACTATACTGGTAACTTTTCTATAAATCTCAATTTATTTGAAGATAAAAGTTTAAAAGTAAAAGAAAACAGACAAAGGAGAAGACACCACCAAAAGTTTGGCTTTTTAAAAATAATTAAACTGATAATCTCCTATCAAGATTAATGTTAAAAAGGAAAGGCAAATTACTGCTATCAGGAATTTTAAAAAGGTAACATCACTATCAATCTCATACATTAGACAGATCACAGGAAATAATTGTTAGATATAGAAAGAATGATAAAATGTGGCAAAATTTTAAAAATTGGTGAACTCGAGTAAAGGATATACAGGAATTCTATGTACTATACTGGTAACTTTTCTATAAATCTCAATTTATTTGAAGATAAAAGTTTAAAAGTAAAAGAAAACAGACAAAGGAGAAGACACCACCAAAAGTTTGGCTTTTTAAAAATAATTAAACTGATAATCTCCTATCAAGATTAATGTTAAAAAGGAAAGGCAAATTACTGCTATCAGGAATTTTAAAAAGGTAACATCACTATCAATCTCATACATTAGACAGATCACAGGAAGCAATTATAAATAACTTTATGCCAATATAAATTTGAAAACAGATAAATCGCTTGAAAACACAAACCATTACACCTGACAAAACGAATCTGTAGTCCTGTATCATGAAATAAATTAACTCTATAATTAAATATAGACTTACAAAGCACACCCCAGAATACTAGAATATTGGCTATTTAACCTAGAAAAGTTTTAAAATAAGACCTAGACACTTATTATTAATTAGTATCACAAGATCTATGGCCATACCACCCTGAACACACCCAATCTCGTCTAATTAGTGTCACAAGTCAGCAATTTTTAAAACATTATTTATCCATAAAATTCTTTCTTCACATGAAAGTTTACAACATACAAATAAGATGAAGACAGGGACGCTTTGAGTGAAGCCAAACAGGGATGATAAACCCTAATTCCTCCAGCCTTCCTCCTGTCCCTCTGCTATGTTGCCAGTTTCTGAGGCAATTCTCCAGAATTCGGTTTCCTCAGAATTCCTGAGAGTCCATGAAACACACTTTGAACTCACAAGCTGACGCAGAAATCAAACAAGTGGTAAAACATCGCTTTTGCAAATTTCTAATGGCAAAATGAAAAGGATGAAGACAAGATATTTTTCTAAAGTATTTACCTTCCTTTTATGAACAAAAGGAAATAAATTCATAACAGCAATAAAGATATTGACTACAAACCCTGAACAACAGAAAGACTGTAACAGCTGTAATTTTCTGACCCCCTCTGCTTAAGTCATGAGGCATCACTCAGCCGTGGTCTCTTCCTGCCTGCCCCTGGATTGTGCAGCAGACTCAACAGCAAGGGGCCTTGGAGGTGTAATGTGCTTTCACATACCAGACTGTCAGAGGTGAATCACACCCATTTATCTCAGCACCAGCTTATCTAAACCACCAGGCAACGTGTTCGCAACGTGCGTTCTTGTCTTTGTTGGTTAAATTAACAGAAGAATTTTATTCCAAGTCAAAGCATTAAAGATGAATAATACACATAACTACAGCGTTATTAAATTGCATTTTATAGGTCCATATCTATCTTCTTGGATGGGAAAGGAACACCATTTACAAATGTTAATACAGTGACCAGAATTAATTCTACCATGCACTAATTTACAAAATCACTAATTTTCTCCAGCTTTTAACCATTAAAACTTCTCATAAAATAATTAATTTGGCTTTCCCTTCCTTTTAGATTAGAATTGTTTGGTTTTGACAAATGTTATTAATACTTTCCATGATGTCATTTAGAGAGTATCTTCTTTAGTATTTATATTAATATGTATTAGCATATTAACAAGTACATTAGAAGCTAAACTTATAAATAACCTTAGTGCATAAGGAAATCAGGTGGTAATAGTTAACAAACCTAGTACAGAGGCATTTCCATCCACCACAGACGAGCCATTCCAGTCCTCTTTTTCTTTGCATCATCCTAGCCCGCGGTAACGTGTGGTAGTCACTTTCATCATTCTCAAAGCCTTCTTCAGACATCATCAGTGGCATTTCATCCAAATGGGCAGACTCATCTTCCAGCTGGTACCTGGTCAAAGGTAAAAAAGGAGCACTGAGACAGATCAAGCAGTCTTTTGCTACAGGAGAAGTGTTTCCTTTAGGACAATGTCTGGCCTAACTTGATCAATCACCCATCTTTTTTGTCAAACTAAACTGCCTTCAGCTGAGGCAAATCATTATAAAGAACAGTGCACAGTGACTCTACTTTCCTTTGCGATAAACAAATCAGCTTAAGTAAACAGGCAAGAAAAAGGCTACCTGAGGAAGCCTGTGTGGCATGTGCTGTGAACATAGCCCCCAGCAGCCTCTGCTGTGCTGGTCACCTGCAGAGACAGCACCCCCAGTACTGCCTGGTATCCACTTGCCACATGTGCTTCAGCAACAGAAAAAATTCAACCACCAGCAAAAACACACACCTCCAAGTAATACCTAAACATTCTAAGTTACACAACTTTACAGTCATCATTCAAAGTTCTATAAGTAGCTTTCAACAATATGTAGTTGTCTGTATAATGAGTACTGATAGGTATCAACATCGTCCCTTGGTTTGTTGTCAGAGCTGACACATATAGGGAATGATGCTATGTCCCATTTATTCTGTCTCTCTGATATTCCCTTTACTAAAACTTTCCATTCAATGAAAACATCTCAACAACCAGCATACCTTTTAGAGCTCAACAATCCTTTTCTGATCCAAGAAACAGGCAGACTACCATTAACACTGTCCATTTTATCTTTCTTCAATCACAAACATAATTTATCTTTAAAAAATAAACTTACCTTTTTGAGAATAATCATTTCTGTCAGAAACTATAATGGTGATTCAACAGTGCTATCTTATTTAATTTTACATAGCCTTTGTAAAGGTCCGATGTAAAAAAAATAGGAAAGTAGACTTCTGGGTTCCTTGGGATAATGGCAGTCACTTAAATTGAAATCTCTCCTCGCATCCTCTAAAATCCATATGGAAGACAACTAAACCAACCAAAACCCACGACTAAAACATAGCTAAGGGACGGGGAACACTGCAATCCTCAATCTACACATATGAAGGGACATGAGTACTCTAAACCGACAGCCCATTCCAGAGCCCTCTCTGGATCACAGCCAGGCAGCCTAGCGGGAAAATAGGGACAACAGCCCTAATGGTGGCAGAACAGACAAAAATTACACCCAAAAAGAGTCTGCCCTGAGAATAATAGGACTGAGATCATAGCACTGGCTACTAGGGAATCTAGGGAGGGCACAGAACCAAGGTGGCAAGCTCAAAGTAAGGCATCACTGTTGGGGTGGAAGTCCACCCGGGAAGGGGACGCACCTCTTGGAAGGCCTGATGGTGGAAGGAAGGGAACACTCAATGGAAATTAAGAGTTCTTCAGAAACAATGACGAAACAGAGGAATAAAGCACATAAACAGGTCATTATAATACATCTGCTAAAGTGCGATTTAGAGATAGGTGAATACTGTAGAAGACTTTTTCTTTTTTCTTTTTAAGAAAATACCTAGAGTAATGCTCCAAGAACTCAGTCATCTACTCCTCACTGCATGGAAGACACAAAGAGAAACAGCAGGTTATAATCTATAAACTGTGGGCAGCACCCAGAGGCCAAAAGTCACCACTAATGCTGGACTAACCTGGACAGGTCGGGACATGCAGTGGCTGAGGGCATTCATGCCATGTGCAAATAAGACTGATGATCAAGAGTGTTATTTTCATTCCTATTAACTCTTCCTCCTCACAGACCTCCAGTCAATGGGGCTGAAATGCACACTGTTTCAAGAGAGGGGCAGTTCAGCTTCAGGCATTCAAAAGAGGCTCATGTAGCCCAATTCAGAGTTCCGTCAAAGCCAAGACTCCATCTGCACAGCACAATGGATAGAGAGCAAATTCCAAAAGAAACCCTCCCCTCCTGGCCATGGCCCCAGGAAAGGGGGCCCTTGCAGGGCAGAGCGTTTCTCTTTTCTTTTTTCCTCTTTTTTTCTCTCCAGCCCTATCGGAGCTGCACTGCCGTCACCCCATGAGAGCCGGAGGAACAGAGAAGATGGGCTCAGGTGGAAGTCTCTGGCTGGTGTTCTCTTCTCTCACAATTTTGCCCTGAGAGAGCCCCAGTCATGTGGACCTTCATAACAACACAGAGGGCTAATATTCTGAGGGAAACTCCCAACTTTTAAGCATAAAACTGAAAAAAGGCACCTCTGGAAGTGGGAGATGTGGGATAAACCACAGAGTGGACAGGACTGCACAACAGGACACACTGATTCTGTACACAAATCAACCCAAGTCCCAGGCTCACCCCTGAGCTGCACAAACAGAAGGGCAGACCCTAATAAGCCTAGCACAGGCTCTGGGAACTGTTCAAGTCTTACACAAGCCCTGACAGGCAGAGATGGGCAGCACACCTAAACAACACGGCAATGGTCTGGAAAACAAACCACCACCCACTGTGGTTAAACAGAACCTAGGGTATGAGCCTACCAAGGTCAATGGGCTGCTAAAACAAAACAACCCCGAAGTGTTCTTTGGAGGACTTTAATGAGACCTACAGTCTCACAACATATATTCAAAATGTCTAGGATGTAATCCAAACATAATCTACATACAAGTAATAGGAAAATATGGCCAATACTCAACAGAAAGGAAGAGCAGTCAACAAACGCTAATTCCAAAAGATGTTGAAATTGCCAAAGATTTTAAAGCAGCAATTATAAACAGGCTCCATGAGATTAAGTTTAAAACCTGAAATGAAGGGCCGGCCCGGTGGCACACTCGGTAGAGTGGCGCTTGGGAGCACGGCGGCACTCCCACCGAGGGTTCAGATCCCATATAGAGACCGGTCCACTCACTGGTTGAGCGCGGTGCAGGCGCGACACCGAGGGTTGCGATCCCGTTGCTGGTCGCAGTATGGGCGCGACACTGAGGGTTGCGATCCCGTCACCGGTCACGAAAAAAGACAAAAAGGAAAAAAAAAAAAAACTTGAAATGAAAAGAAAGTAGTTCTAAGCAGAGAAACAGTGCTTGTGTGTGAATATGTGTGTGTACACACTACTTCTCTATGTTTACATATAGACATGTATATTAAGGTCTGAACGTTCACATCATTGGAATCCCAGAAGGCGAAAAAAAATTGATGCAGAAAAATGTCTGAAGAAGTAATGGATAAAAACTTCCCAAATTTGTTCAAAGACATAAATTTACTAATTAAAGAAGACAGCAAACTTGAAACAGGATAGAGTCGAAGAAACTCACACAAAGACACAGCATAATCAAACTACTGAAAGAAAGATGAAGGAAAAAACCTGGGAAGTAGCCAGAGAGAATAACTCATTACAGTTAGAGGAGCACCGACTAGAATGCCTCTGGATTTCTCATGGAAAAAGACAGAGTCCGGGGGAGAGTGTAAGGATACAGTCTCAGCACTGAAAGGGCGGCGCATACAGCCACAGTCTCCTCCAGGAACGAAGGTAAAACAAAGGAATCCTCAGGTGAAGGAAAACCAAGAGAACCTGTTGTCAGCGGATGTGCCCTAAAGAATAATGCTGAAGAAAAATGACACCAGAAGGAAACGTGGAACTTTAGGAATAAAGGAACAATGACAGAAAGTTCTTCAAAATATGTATGACTATTCAAGGTAAAAATTGCAACACTATCTGGTTAAGTTTTCACTGTAAATATAGTTTACATGAAGTGGCAAAATACTAATTTTAAATGGACAGTGAAAAGTTAGCGTTGTCATACAATTCTTTGTTGTGGGAGGATGTCCTGCGCATGTACGAGAGCACTTCAAAAAGATGATGGAAAGATTCATACTATTTCTTAATTCTATTTTTTCCAAGAGTTTTTGAATGTTCAACAGCATCCCAGCCTCTATGCACTAGACACCAATAGTAGCAGCGCCACCATCACACCACCTTGTTGTGACAATCAAAAATGTCTTCAGGGCCGGCCCGGTGGCGCACTGCTACAGTGCGCCACTTGGGAGTGCAGCGGCGCTCCCGCCGAGGGTTCGGATCCCACATACAGACCGGTTCCCGCTCACTGGCAGACACCGAGGGTTGCGATCCCGTTGCCGGTCCCAGTCCGGTACGGGCGTGACACTGAGGGTTGCGATCCGTTATCGGACACGAAAAAAGACAAAAAGGGAAAAAAAAAAATGTCTTCAGACCTTGCCAAACATCCCCTGGAGTCCCCTGGAGCATTTTAAAGGAAATGCTTTAAGTATACTGACCTATAATATTAAAAGATTAAAAGTAAAATGATGGAGAAGTATATATTATGCAAACACTAATCAAAAGAAAGATAATTGGCTATACTAATATAAGACAAAAGTCATCAGAAAAAGGATTGCCTAGGAAAAGGGATATTACACATGATAAAGAATCAAATCACCAGTAAGATCTAGCAATATCAAATGTGTACCTACAATCAAAGCTTCAAAATACATGAAGCAAAACCAATACAAGCGGAAAGAGAAACAGACAAACCCACAATAGTACTTGAGACTTCAAAACTCTCCTCTCAACGACAGAAAATCGGAAAGGATTTAAAGACATGACCAACACCATCCAACTTGACCTAATCGTCATTTGAAAAATGCTCTACCCAACAGCAGAATAATACTCTCTGCAAGTGCACAATAAACACTTACCCCAAAGACCACATCCTGGGCTGTAGACACCAAACCTAACAAATTTAAAAGAACTAAAACCACGAAGTATGTTCTCTCACCACAATGGATTAAAAAAAGAAAAATCAGTCACAGAAAGATATCTGGAAAATCCACAAATACTTTGAGGAAAAAGCCACACTTCTAAATAACTGGTGGGCCAAAGAGGAAGTCTCAAGGGAAATAAACAATTTTTAAGTGAATAAAAATAGGACTTATCAAACTTTGAAGGATTAAGTCAAAAGAACGCTTACAGGGAAATTTATGGCATTACACACTTATACTGGGCAGGGGAATGGGTCTACAGTCAATTTTCTAAACTTACAACTTATAAAAACAGAAAGGAAGAGCAAATTAAACCACATAACAGGAAGTACAGAAGACAGATGAGCAGTGAATGACACAGGGAGGTGCAGATCCCAAGTGTGGGACATACTGCAATACAGCCAGCTTGGACGCTCGACGCCACTGGAAGAAACAAAACCAGAGCAATGACTCCTCAAAAAAGAAATCAAAGAGATATAACCAGATGAAAGACTTAAACCATGATTAGAACCTGGATTGGAAAAAAAATCTGTGCTATAAAAGACATTCCTGAAAATGATAAGTTAAAATGGTGAATTTTATATTGTGTATTTTGCCACAATC